TCATTTACGCACGTTTCCTGAAGATAGAAGAGTTTGTTGAATCTGGCGTGACATGTTCGTACGAACCCTTTGTACGAACAAAAGTAAGAGAAATTTAGGAGAAGAATACGAACATGTTCTTGCATGAGGCCCATTGTGAGCAAAGGCGGGCAACAAAACTATGGGCACAGTCAAGGTTGGGGTTCTGCAGTTTTGAAAATCCACACAAAATACAACCACACAGCGTGTTGGTTGAATAGAAGTAAACACCCAGAATTCAGCATTACTTCACACAACTTTGGTCCTGCATCCAATAAGCCTCCTCCGTAGACTGGCTTGRATCAGCCTTAAGATAGTTTCATACTCCATCCAAAGCTGCAAAATTGACTCTAATTGATGTAGTTGTGTTACAAATATAGTGTCCTTTTGKTTCTCAGAGCAGTTTTGTCTGACCCTTGTGGACACAAGGCCAGTATGTTCTAAATACTGTTGATTGATCAGACGTTTATGAACATATTGGTTTTTGGAGAAAMGTGCTTAGTGTCTTGCCTGAGGACACAATGACTGAGACATCTGTAAGCACTGGTAACAGGACGATTACCCTAACCACTCTGCCACAGCTGTCCTCATAATGTGACTTGTACTGCAGCCAGAGGGACTTTCCAGGAGCTCTGTGCCATGTGTCTTGTGAACCATGACAGGTGTGTGTGAAAGCCATGTTGCAACAAGTTGACTAATCGGCTTTGGATGTAATATGAAAAGCTCTTTAGAAACAGAGTGAAGAGTTCTGTCATCCAGGGGGAGCTAAGAGAAGTGCTGCTCAACCTCCTCATTGAAAAGTCCACTCAAGGTGGTCAATCAAGATGCCCCCTGTCCCCACCTTTTGGAGGTTTTCCAGAAATGAGTCAAAGAAAGATGAACCCAGAACTTGCTGAGGGGTTATGTGTCAGCCTTGAGAACTTCTTTGAATTCCCCGGGAGGAGCTAGAGTGTCACAGGTTAGAGAATGGTCTGTGTTTCCCTCCAAAACCTGTTACCTCCATGACCTGGCTTCAGATAAATGGCAGACAATGGATGTTGCTATCATTTGGGGCTTCCTGCTTGACAACTTTTAATGGTCATGATATTAWGCACTTATTTGTTTGCTTAACAAATTAAGTACTATAAAAATGTGTTAAATAAAAGGTAAATGTGTACTAATTTACCTGTTACCTCCTGTTGTTGCATAGAAAGTCCTGGCTTCAACAAATCTTACCTAAAAAAATGAAACTGTTATTAACCAGTGTTACAATTGATTCTCCTATTTAATATTGTGCTATTAATGTATTATTAAACGTGAACATCTTTGCAGAGTTTGTCAGACAGGCTTACCAAAGGGTCTCCACGGCTAAGAAAAAAACACACACACACACACACACACAAAGGGTTTTTACCACTCCTTAACTAAACAACAGGTTTAACAACTAAATAATAATTTGCTGTGTCAAAGGCTATGTGACATTACAACGCTTTAGCAACTTAAGTTGACTTATGAAAAATTCTTTCCAACACTGAAGCTGTTTACACTGAAGATGGAATAAAAAAATTAAATGAAACCCCTTTTGGACATATTGTAATGTTTATTAGATCAAATATATAAACACACTAATTAAGTCATAACAAAGTTTTCATAAGTCAGCACAAGTTGTCTAAAACATTTTTAACAGTGTCTTAACACACATACAAAATAAACCTGTAAGTTGTTTACCTCACACTGGTCACAATGACATTTTTAAAAGTTGGTACCGTTTTGTTGTAATATTTCCGCATCTGAAAGACAAATACTGTTATGTTGAAAAAGCAACACAATGAGCAGATTAAATACAATGCTGTAGCCTAAATAAACTTTTCTATACCAGTTCATTGACCTGGTGAAGACATTTTTAGGTATTAAGTCAGGCTAAGTCAATAACATTATAGTCAATCTTCTTTAAGTAAAAGACATACAGAGAATAAAAATTACAATCCACTCTCATCTACAGTGCACTAAACATAAGAAATAATCCCTTCTAGGATGAGGTAAACAAGGGGCAGGTGTGTGTGTGTGTGTGTGTGTGTGTGTGTGTGTGTGTGTGTGTGTGTGTGTGTGTGTGT